CCCCAAAACCCCAAAACCCCAAAACCCCATAAAGCAAAAACATCTAAATTTCGGGAAATATGAATAAGTTTAAATTTAAAGAGGATTAATAAGAATATGATGGCTGTGTGATAATTTTCTTGAGGGGATTATCACTGTTTGAACTCGGTGCTACTCCATGAGTTCATCAATAATTTTTGATAGCATGTGATGGCTTCTTTCTTGAGTTCAGCAGATGAAGCGGGGACTTACATGAGCTTAATGATGACGGTCTTAAGGTTAAGGGTGTCTAGATATTGTCTACCATATTGGAAGAAGCGAGCGAATTCTCCAAGATCATAACAAGCAATGGCCTTAACGCGGTCATCAGGATGCTCTAGAAGCTCAACAAGGATCTTAATAAGATCGAGATTCTCCTTCTCATGGAAGAAGATAAAGTTTTCTTGCCAGAATTTCTCTGTGTGAACTGGTCCCCATCTGAGAGACTTTTTGTGCACCTCCTTTCTGAACTTATCAATTGATGAGAAGACTTTATAGTTCTGATCAAGATAGTTGAAGAGTTTATCAAGGAGATCATGAATATCATTATCAACCCAATGTCTGTTTTAAAGCTTGGTCATGATTGAGATGGCATTAATGTCTGACATGATTTCAAGGCAAACATCGTTTTATTTCAAGTTCTATTACCAGTTTAATTATATAAATATCATACATCAAGTAGCAATAAGATGATTCTAACAATCTTTTCCTTACTGAAGTAATCGAGAACCTTGGCAACTCTCTCAATTATTTCGAGCTATAGCAAATGATTATATATAATAATACTTACTCTGTAATCTTCAAAGCCTCTGCTTGAGAATGGATGATAAGAGATGATCCAAAGTGCATTAATAACATTGTATGCAATTTGATAAGACTTGATGCACTCATAGTTAAGATAGTTACTAAATAATTCAAAACCACCTTGGTCTACGAATTCCTTGGCGAGTTCATTGGTCTTGAGAAGGTACATAAGAGCAAAGGTATAAGCGTTCAATGAGATATTTGGCTTTTGCTTTTGCTCAATGAGCCAGTTTAAGAATTACTTAGCTTCGTTTTAGCAGTTTTTGTACTCATGAGCTCTAATAAAACACGATTAAAACTATTAGTGATTATTACTCAATAAGCATGGCAAGAATATGAGAAGCAAGGTCTCTTTGGTGTTGCTCAGCTTGGTTGTTTTACCATAGGAAACTGTTAAGTAGTCCAATAAGGTCTTCCTTCTTGTCTTTCTTGTGACTTCTTTGAATACTGACAAGATATTGAATTCTAGTTCTACTATCCTCAAGAATACCATCAATGAGCATCAAGGCGAAGGTAACAAGCTTTGGCTCACCTTTAACCTTCTTAACGATCTCAAAGAATAATCTGATATACTCTTCAGCTTTGTTTTTCTATTACATTAATTAGTTACCATTTTCATCTTACATCACCAATAGCTTATCTTTGTTGGTCATCATTCAAGCTCATGAATTCTGTGAACTTTGCGCTTGACCCTTGAGGTAGCATTTAAGATGCTAAATAAAGATATTAAAGTCAATTCAAAGTATTGTGTAATTTATTTCATACATTCATATTGCTGAATTGATGGGTTGTAGAGAGCAAACTCTTACTTGAGTCTTGGTTAGTACAAGAAGATGCTAGCGTAGAAGACTAGCTTGTCTGATTGTGGGTTAGGGTTAGCCATTGATATTTTATGTAAGTATATATCCTTTATCTTTTATATTAATAATATTTACTCTAATCAAATAGCTATCAATAATTTAATTTCAATCAGTCACTTTAATACTTACAATTAAAAAATGTCTTTTCAAAGAAGTATGTTTTACTTAAGAGGAAAAATATAGAGAACGAGAGATTTTTTCAGACAAGATTTTGCATAGTTTAAAGAAGAGTTAAAGCACAACTATTTCCTCGTTCAAATTATCATTCAATGCTTTACAGCATATTCATTGTTAGACCTTTACATGTGGAAAATTGTTGGAGTAAATGGACCTTCAATGCTTCCTAATATTGATTCAAATAACAGTATATTATTTTTAGACTGCTTTACAACTAATTTTCTAAGAAAACCAAGAATAGGTGATGTTATTGTGGCTTAAAATCCCTTAAAACCAAGAGGTGCTACTGTAGTAAAAAGAGTCCTGTATGTAGAGGGTGAAATAGCAGAATTCTTTGATATAAGAACACAAAGAAATGAGAAAGTTATAATTCCTCCGAATCATATCTGGGTAGAAGGGGATAATCCCAATAACTCTAGAGATTCAAGACACTATGGTCCTATAAGTTTAGAATTAGTTTAAGGAATAGTGAGATTCAAATTATGGCCGTTTAACTAGTTTGGTTAAAGTCTAAGAGTAAAAATATGAAGCATAATTAAGAGACTTGTAAATAATTTGACTTATTGAATCAAAGTTTAATCATAACCATTACTTTAAATTCACTTAGTATAGGGGTTTTGGGGTTTTGGGGAGATCGGAAGAGCG